TGTTCACTGAGGCTCATGGTCCCAAGGCCTCATTAATTACGCACATGTCTAACTGTCAGTAACGTAACGGCTAAATTATCAAAGCATTGTCTGGAGAACTTAAAATGCTCACAATTAAAATGATCCAATTAAGCCGCCATATTCTGTATATACACCGTATACACTGCCAAAAAGGTGCCAATCTGCCAAAAGCTCGAAATGAGTAAACAATAATAACATCTAGCATCTCTCTTATCTTTTTTTATTTATTTTTTGTGAATTGTTGGGTGGAATGATGTTAAGTTCAAAACCGACAGAATGCCGTTTTTGGAGTAAAGATCTATAAATCGATTCTTGAATAAACTTAACACCAAGGTGGCAGAGAATAATGTTCCGTGAACCAGTATTGAGTTTTCAAACACCTGATCAGGTTTTATTCGAGGGTAGTAATAAATCAAACTAATGAACAGTGGTTGTCAATTTCAAATTTTCCATTGATCTTTTTCGCTGATCGTAATTTGATGGTAATGCTAGGGCTTCAAGCACTACTGCAGTTGAAGGGTGGTGATCGTCGTGTCGCGTCATGTTCGATATGAGACACATAGCGACGTATACAACGCATGGAAAATACATTGTTTATTTACACCGCCCTTTAAACCTCAACAACAGAATGATACAAAATTATGTTGCCAACCAAACTGTTGATCCAAATCTTTATATAATTTGAGGGAAACCAGCAACTAATATCAACCAATTGTCTGTTTTGATCCCCCCCCCTCGAGTTTCTAAAATTTACAGGGTGCACGCTCAAATTCAGGGGTACCAATGAAAGTGTAGCTTTTTAATGAAAATCACAGCTTTGACACCGTGCAGCATAGCTTGGTCAGGAAAAGCTTAGCTACAGGAATGAAATCCGCTAGTTTTGACATCGAGAACTCAAGCTTTGAACATATTTTGATGTTGAGGGCGTACACAACATGGCTGCCTCCAAAAGCAGTGTTAGCAACGGTAAGTATTTTACTCGTTTTCTCAACAAAATCACCAAGTTATGCTGTGTAATATATATGCCGCAATCAGTGAAGTTCAGGTTCAATTTCATTTCTAGAAAGTTTCAGCCATCATTTTACGAAACTTGCAGAGAAATCTCAATTCCAATTTTCGAAGCGAACGGGCTAGCAGGACGTCCTATTCTTATACATGTACATGTATTCATTGCTGAACAGGTCAAAAACAATAGTACACACCATAGATACTGACACAATATTTGTATCCAAGAGATATATTGTAGATACACATGTTCTAACTCGGTATTGTGAAGCGATTTGCCATGTGACCTAATTAATTATGCACATTTCTATTGTAGACAAGTATTTACTACTAACATAGTATTGTGTACCTGGATAAAAAGATGGAAGCAGCTAGATATGAACGAGCACAACAACCAATATGGCGGATGTGTCCACGCTTTGATGACGTACCAGACACATATATCAGGGGACACATTAATTGCAAATAATGATTTTTTTCTATAGTTAATTGAATAAATTGTGTTTATGTAGAGAATGTCTGATAAATAAACCAATAGTGCGACTTTTCGTGGATGATTATATACCTTTATAAACGCTTAACACCGTAGTAGCATATGACCCGGGCGGACTGATAATCTGTGCGTTCTGGAAAAGTCTAGAACGGCCGTCCGGTTCACGTCTGTCAGGCCCCACATCAAGTTTTATGACTACTCTGTGTAATTGTATTTAGTAAAGTCAGTTACAAAAAACAATGTTATAGATGTTTTCTCTTTTTTTAAATGCAAGCATAAAAGTGGCTGTACAAAGACTATGTGTATATTTTTTGTTGGAGAGATGCTTTAGTCGTTCTTGAACATTAATGTTCTTGAGTTCGTGAATAAACAATTATAAATACTAGTAGTTCATTTGTGTAGGTTCTGTTATGACAGACAATATAGCGTTATTGTCGTCCTCGGTTGTATTGGCGGGAAAGTCCAGGGCCGTTTTTTGTCCCTAGTCCGCCCTTGCATATGACGTGACCTCGTGCCTTGAAGAGTACATATTCGTTGAATTCAGAAAAGCACGTGCAAAATTTCGCACAACTGTGAAATTAAAATGTCGCAAACAATAATATCACATGATGCTGCGGAGGAATCCCGGTGGTTGAAAATTAGCCTTATAAGACCAATGGGTCATCTAACTCGAAAAAGAAGCCACATTCTTCAACAAACATGTGAACCATTTATAACTTCAAAATATTGTATTATAATTGTTTATTATATCACCGACTATTTAATATAAACAAAACATTGTTTTAAATTTTGTGCTAATTAAAATTTTCTCATAGCATGGAACAGTGTAAAATTACGTGCTGCGTCGTCAAGTTTTAAAACATTGTATTTTTGTGTTTGAAAATACGTCTTGTCTTGTCTTGTCAATGCACCCAAAACGGATTTCCTACTCTGGGTTTGCTTATCTCTGCGAACAAAGCCGCAGGTTCCAGGGGAACGATTTCTTGCGACATTGCCTTAGCTTCACCTCTGTCAATATTTGCAGGTGTCTCTTCATCGGTTTCAGCATCAAAATACATCGACATTTCTTCTGTGTCATACAACACACCTTCGACATCTGTTTGGGTTGCAATTGTGGCCATAGTTGGTTTGACTAGCGTTTGAGACTCTGTCGAACCATGACTGAGTTTTTTGCGCATTTTCGTTACAAAGCGACTATTTTGCAGGTACAAGTAGTCATCATTTGTAGCAAAATTTGTTGTCATTTCATCTTGTAACTTGGTATTCTGTGAACTATCTTCCCGATTAGACTCGGCTGTAGTAGATCTGATATCAAGTAAACTCTTCATAATGCTGGCTGTGGAGTTCCTAATGTGTTGAATGGACCTATCACTTCTGTGTAAGTTTGAAAGAACCTCATACCTGAAGTAGAGATATGAAATAATTGAAAATGTATTCCTTCTATAACCTAGCAATTTTTTTATATACAATCACTTTTTTTCCAAACAAACACATTTCAACAAGCATTGACGAAGTTAACCCATACCTTAAACCTGTTATATCCTGCTTCAATCGTAGGATGTCCACTTGAGACACGTGTTTTTCATTTTCATGACCTCCAGATCGTTTTTCAGCCCAGTACCTACTGACTAACTGCTGGATGACTTCCTATTTAAAAGAAACGAATACAGATTTTGAAATTGATTACACGATTCGTATTCATTCAGTAACGAACAAATCACACCTATTGGTGATAATGCTTAAACATGACATTTAAAACACGGTGTAGTTACAGAGATACATACCTCATAACGTCGTTCTAAGTCGGCAATTTTATCCCATTGTTTCTGAAATTAATAATTCATGAGTAATATTCCGTAAGCGTCAGATATACTCAAACACATTGTACATACCGATCACAGGTAACATAGCCCATGCATATCTCGCAGTGCAGGCAAATTAGGCTTTGTTTAGAAGCAAGCAACTATCATAAGCCGATTAGTGCTTTACTTTGCATTCAAAATTTTTGCTCAGAAAGTATTACTCATTTCGATCTGTGGCAGTGAAGTGAAGGGATTTTGAATGAAATTGTACAATATTAATTCCGTCATTTTATTTCAGATTATTTTGTAATGTTTCCGATGCTGCTGAGGGGTGATTAGAGCATTTTTCTTTCTTTTTAGGCTTGTGAGAATTGTCATGAATTGGCTGCGTATTCTACACCGTTTGCCTAATGTTAGAACTTTGAATACAGGGGAACAACAGTGAAGTTCAATATGGGGAAATATTGTATGACACAAAAATACATGTAGATCATATTCAACTGTACCTTTGTTCGTTTCCTTTGTAAGCGAGGACAACAAGCATATATGAGTGATTTCATTCTATAGTATACACTCTTCACACTTGGAATGATGTTGAATGGCGGCGGGACTGTTGCACCACCTTCGAAAAAGCTCATCCACAGCTGGGCTCTGGAATATTTCCACTCTCTGTCCGAGTTTTCCTGACGGTAAATAAAACTAAAACATGTAAATATTCATCATAATTTCGAATCATAATTTTGTTTCTCGAATGTTGGTGTTGAATTATGTTGGAACTATTGATTCTAGATCGACGGCTATAACTATTCAGTGATATGAATAACTCCTAGAATAGTCTCGTTATCGAATGAAACAAAAACTGATAGAAAGGCTACGAATCGTACCTCAATCCTCGTATAGGTATTGCTCATCATAGCAATAAGGGCGTTGAGTAGTATTATTATACCAACAACATGATACAATGCATAAGCAATCTCACCCACACCTTCCGTAAATGGGTGATTCGCGGTAACCTCTAGTTTTTCCAAAGCAGACACACCGAACAGGTTCCAGAACAACGTCCGAATCGTGCTCGTAAAGCTGAAACAGAATCACATAAATGTCTCTAAATGTGAGTGGGAATGCTTACTGATTGAGTTAAGTAGAATAATTTGTAGTAAGTATCTATTGTAGTACGTGGTTAAGTTTCGCCTTGCAGAATGACGATGTGTTAGTGGCCAGATGACGTTGACTGGCCCAACAGGTATACTCACGACCAATCGTCGCATATTTCATTCAGTGAAATATGAATTAAGTTATTTCAATATTAATGAATATGATATGCTATTCCTATATGACCTTCATTGGCAATTAAATGAGTCACCACAATAAACACTGGCATTGAAGTGGGGTTGAAATATATGTTTAGGAATGACGGGTCGTAGCCTTACGCACATTGTGTAGTACAATGATACACTGGAACATGTATTACACGTTTGGGTGAGCGTTTAATTTGTCAGAATTTGTAGTCATGATCCTCATGCAATCTACATAGCGAAATTGTGGCAAGCGTAGCCAATATACAATATATGCATAGTGATCAACAATGTTATTGATTTTAAATCACAGTTGTGCGCGCACCAATTTCGAACCCAGCCTCTGTAGCTCCTCCGTGGCGCTGCAAAATTTGGTCAGGATTTCACATGATATATATTCAAATCGTGGAAAGAATTAGACTTATAATAGGGTATTTAGTGCAGATGGGTGGCATTATTTAAGTAGATCATGTAATAGATCCACCAGTCAGACAACATGTTAGGTTTGAGGGTAAAACCGGAAGGCGGATTGATTCTGTGTATGTATTAGACTGAATATTCTCCCTGTACATATATGCCTCACCTTGTAAATCCACTGTAACAACTGGATAGTGCTTCTTCATTACGGCATTCTAGTATGGTTAGTGACGAATAGAATTTATAGAGCTGGGTCAGACCAACAGCAAATGCCAATAGAACAAACCCAAAGATTGCCAGAAACCTTACTATATCATAAAACATCTTCCAGAGAGAGATCTGAAGTGGACCAACTTGTTTGCTTATAACAACAATGTTGATCAGACGAAGCACGCTAACAATGTTGGCCATGGCAAACAATGCTTCTGCAACTTAATCAGGGTCATAGCCACTCCAGACGACCCGCGAGTCCTCCAGAAACTGTATTGGTGCCTCTGTTACCGTTTCACTGGACGTCGTACAGCTGAAATTGTGTATAAGTGTTTGTGTCAGTTTTGCAAACTGTTGGTTATGAGAGTCTGCAACGAATCCTGTGATATTAGTAATCACTTGGTCAACATAGCTTTCTAAATCCGGAAGTGTCTTGTTCTGCATATAAGAGTCCAATTCCATAACTGACATTCTCTTCAGTCGTAGTTTCAATTCACTGCTAATTCCAACTGATTCATTTAAAGCATCAAGTTCTTGATATCTCCGTCTCCACTGTGGGTGAAATATGACAATTGTTTATGTGTTGGAGCTCAGTGCGTTTCATAAACATATTTCAAGTGTTTGAAAAGAAAGTATTTCAAGTGCTCATTAAGGAATTGGACGTTTGCCACAGACTGAATAGGATTGCCAAGACCATTGTCAGAGTTTCATCCGATAAAGGAGGTGAAATGAAATGAATTAAAAATGACATTCTGTTCAATCGGGCATTGAGTATAACGATTATATAAATACAGACCACAAGTATAAGTATATGTAAAAACTTTTTTTTCAACAAGACACAGTAAAGTGAAATTTACCGTACCACTTCATAATATACCAAGCTTTTTTATGGATTTAAAAAAGTCCACCTTGACGTTACTTACAATCAGCCACGATACCATCATCAGTGTGTATGATATCCAATACAGTGACAGCTGGACAAAGTCCATAATGTTCCATGAATCGAATGCATAGGACGCTGCACCTTGCTTCCATATCTCCTTTATTTCCCTCCATGTCATCCCTGAAAATATAACATTTGGGGTTTAACAATATTTTCAAAGGCTCAAATGCATCATTGTTGAGAGAGAAAAAATTTAAAGTCATCTCGCAGCAAATTTTAAATAACAAATGTATTTTAAATGCAATGGGACTAATGTAGGACACAATCACAGCGAAACGACTGGGACGCTTTAATATTCTCCTTCAAAGTTATAAATTAATGTATGCATTTATTAACTTAGATGCTAATGGCCGATGAGAGTGAGAAATCCTGAAGACTTGTTTTTGCCCCTCAAGCAGTGTTACATTCACTTGTGTCCACTGTTCCTGTGGAATATGTAATCATGATATATTTGGTACAGGGTTCACGAAAACAGGAAAGAATGCAAAACCATTTGAAGTCAAAAACTAATGTTGTGAATCTCAGCGAGCTCTCGGTGGCCATTTGACACTAAGGTTCACTCATCCCAAGCCGGTTATGATACATTTATACAATCTTGATTTTTGGATTCTGTGGCCATACACGGCCATGTATTCAGTCTAATGTGTAGAGTACCTTGGCTGTTAAAATTATAAATATTCAGGGTATGCAATGTTTTAAATCTTACCTTCTAACAATTTCCAATCAAATAACGCATCTCATAATTTTTCTAGTGAACGTGTGCACTGGAGAGTGTGGTCTTATTTTGCATTGCATAGGCACAAAACATGCAAATTGCAGCATCACATTATATGATCTACTTCCGTTATGTGAGTATATGGCTAGTTTGATTGACATTGGATGAATTGTAAGATCCAACGTTGCATTGTAAAAGCATGGCAACCCATTATTTATGGAAGATTTGAGATATATTCATCGGATCGGGAGAAAAATTAAACTAAATTGTTTGCAAACTTAGGGGGGTCAATTGCTCAAAACTAACATATATTGATTGCAAAGTATTTTATCTTGCTCATAACTGACAAACTCTGATAAACTTTGACAAACTGTTAATTGAATTTCTCAAAATAATACATATGTGTGTACTCATGACGGGCGATACTATACTTTCTGCTAATAGCAGTTATATTTTATTGGATTTTATGCAGAAGTTATTACTTACCTAACACCCATGCAAACATAACTATCTCAATATAACTTGGTTGTTTTCCACGAATACTGTCCTGCAACACGGAATACTTTAGTGCATCTGTTGACCCATATTCTCCTCCTACGTCCACCCAGTCTTCTACTAACAGGGAAAGAAGGATTAGGGCAATAAATCCCAACGATGATGCCGTGCGCATTAGGAATTTAACATACCTGTAAACAGTGAGGCGAAAATAAAATAAATCATAGTGTAGTGTAGTGTAGTGTAGTGTAGTGTAGTGTAGTGTAGTGTAGTGTAGTGTAGTGTAGTGTAGTGTAGTGTAGTGTAGTGTAGTGTAGTGTAGTGTAGTGTAGTGTAGTGTAGTGTAGTGTAGTGTAGTGTAGTGTACCTATATCAAAAAAGGAGGCTTATTTTCTTTATGGCAGATATTTAGAATGCCTTCTGAGAATTTAGCTAACAATCATTAAACATCCCTTAGCAGTTTACATGGTAGATCACAGAATTACGGACAGTGGAGTTTACTCTCTCACTATAGTTTTGAGCAACCACTATATCAGTATTTTTTCGGAGTAACATAACCACATAATTTTATTTTGAATTATTTATATATTGCGTGTATTTTGATAAAAACATGTAGGTTGAATTGTAAGTGAATTGTTAGATATTTTGAGTGTTTAGATGTATAGTTGTAGCTATCGGTACAATAAATCGAAATATTATTTTATGAAATAATTTTCAACTCGGGGATATACCAGTCTTAAAATGTATTTTGGCAGCGTCAAACATTCCTAGCCAATGAAAACTGACTGTAATGTGTCTCTATAGTATCATAGGTATCAACGGACTGTCATTCTACTCACGGTATTTGTAACAACTTCGTCACTTGTCCCCTTGGAAACAATAAGTACAGAATTGACAGAATAGGGAATGATATCATAAGCAAGCTGCTAATAATAATCTTCGAGAAACTACTTCGTTCTCTCCAGTCAGTCAAACCACGATACCAACGTTCAATCAGAAACTGTTGACAGTGTGGATGAGCAACAAACTATGAACAAAACGATATTAATCATATGAATCATATAATCATTAATCATACCCCTTGTTTTTCAGATAGCATTCCATTCTCTTCTACAATCGCGGCTATTGTTCCACTGTTGTATGTGACTAGTGTATTTGTAGATACGTGGTGAAATGATATAGTAATGATCTCAGAGTGTATACTCGCACCTTTACTCAGTTCAAATATTAGTCCAAATATCCCTATAATAATCAAGAGAAGTTTTATGTCATACCTTCTTTTGTCTGTACTTAACTGCGGTGAATGCCTTATGCGGTATTTTCGCATCAGTCTTCTCTGATTTTGCCCACTCTGTCGGGTTGTAAGTAAGAATCGTATGAGTCTCCCGAGTATTCCGTGTCTGGGCCAGCAAGTCAGCAGCGAACGTCTCGCACTGCTCCTCCAGTTCTTTGTATTCAACACCAAATTCTTCGTCCCGTTGGCTCAATTTACGCAGTTTCCCGCTCAATATAAACGCAGTATCGATTGGATCTTTGCTGGTCAGAGTGATGAAGGCTTCACTAGAAAGTGCCCTGTAGACGAGCACTGTACCCAGAGACTGTTGCAGAGTGTGTTTCTCTCCAATACCTGTACACACATCTGACTCGGGGTCTTTGATATTGGCTCCGTGATCAAGAAGAATCTGCAAGTGGCACGTTGAAAATGGCTACATGATTTGCAATAAATTGGTGGTTTAAACAATCAACAACTAATAATGTCGATGTGGGGGCGCGGGACTTCATATTCATAACTTCTCAGAGGTCAAAAATCTGGATGGCGGCTACATGGCCATTTAATAATGAACTTAACCGCATCTAAAAAAAACTTGTTCGTTTGACACTTTTTGCACAAAACTATTACACATTATGAAAAAATGGAAAATATTGTGCAAATATTACATGACGTACGTGCTTTATAGCAGGATGTGCCTTCTTTATTATTTGTAGAGATTTTCTAAATGCAATAATTTCATTTACAACCGCGACCGCGAGAGAACACTTGCGTTCGGAAAGTGAAATGCAACAGTGTTACAACACTGTACCACCAAGCGACAAACAATAATGACTCCCCACAGCTCCATATTTGACGAGGAGAAGGGTATGTGGCAAGATAGTGTGTGAGTCAAATATAGCGCTGTAGGGGGTCATTATTGTTATTTGAACAAATTTGGTTAAATTTGAGGTTTTTTTGTTGAAATGAATTTACGAATATCGGTTTACATTATCGTGTGACAATGTAAAATTATAACGTTATTAAAAACCAATGTTGCTGCTAGTAAAGATGAACATGTCTTATTTATATTTACGGGGGTTCCCTATTTGAAAGATACCATGACAAATGCCCACTCTCGGAGTACAGATGTGAATGTTACCTTGATAATGTCGTAATTATTGTGATGTGCCGCTAATACAATCGGCGTAATAACTTGGTGGAAGTCTTCATTTTCAGATCTACAGTTGATAATATCAATCCCACGTCTCTGTTGATCAAAAAAATAACATGTTTAATGACGTAATCCTCAGAAGTTGATATTTATCAAAATTGTGTGTTTGTAATTAGCAATCTCTGTTTTTAAAAAGAACCATTCGACGTTTTTGTGTAATAAAATTACCTAGTGCAAACAAGCGACGTTTCCATATATGAATTCGAAAAACAAAGTTGGCATAATAGAATTTATATATGTTTGGACTAGAACTGGGTAGGTCATGTGACGCAGTTCATAAACACACACACACACACACACACACACACACACACACACAATCTTTACGTGGGATGTCACGTGTTCGTGTTGTGACGTTTCATTTCCGCCGAGTGGCGCCCTGTTGTGACGTAACGCTTCCGTGGCTCATTTCTAGTTTGATTAGTGGTATAAACGTTCTAGGTTACAGTAAAGAATAGATGTTTCAATTGATGGAAGACTATGGGTAGAAACAGCAGTGACGTTGTCAAGGGCGTTCCTTGACGTCACAGAGGGAATTCGTCTATAGAGGGCGCGACTTTCAGGAAGGGTGTATTGAGTTTTCATTGGGTCTACGAAATGGTCAACAATATTTTTTGTTCTATATTCTGTTCTGTATTCCACATCTCCCTCAATTTTCCAGAGAGGTAACTCACAGGTTTATAAAAATGCGTAAAAAAAATGACCCAAATACCGTTGTCATAGAATGTGAACGTGGTACTTACACAAAGAAACTGGGAATTTTCACATAAGATTTCAACGGCTTTAAAGAAATCCAGATCAACAGCTCTTAGCAGTGCGTCACCAACGTGAATCTTGTGTTTTAAGAGTAACTTCAATATCTCTGTAATGAATATTCATAGTGATCTGGTTGTCGTCTGCCGTGAGCATAAATTTGAATATGGCGATTGGAACAGGATCTACTGTACTGTAATTGATGAACGACTAGACAATCGAAACACAGTTGTCGCTTTTGGAACAATAACGCTTTCACCTATCGACGACATTTTTACATAAACTTTGTCGACAGAGGGCGCGATTTATAGGAATCGTAAACATTGTGCACAAGTATCAGCGTAAAATGTTCTCAGTAACGCAATGCTTTCTCTTGGATTTAAATAGTAGTTTTCTGAGTTGTTGCAATGCTCTACGCCTTAAACGTACTTACCTATGTGGCCATTAAGAAGGGCAATCACCATGGCACTTCTTCCATTGTTATCGAAGGCCATCACGTTTATCTCATCCTTATGCTTGAGGGCGTACTCCACTGCATCTATATCTCCCTTCTCAACGGCTGCCAAGTAAACCTGCTCCAGACTCTCCTGGTGCTCCTCTTCGTCTTGCTCCTGTGCCATATTCTGTAAAATAGGGAAAAGGCCGGCCATGGTATTACTTAATTCACAGTTTTTCACTTTGGGCTTAATGTTGTTAAAGAAGCAATACGACGGAAAAATTTGAGATAGTATATTGATCAATACATTTGAAGTTGGCGATGTCCAACAAACGCCCGTATCACAATTTTTGATGATTATATGTATGCGTAATTACCAACCTTGTGACATTCTCAGAAATTCCTTTTCATCGAAAACTCGAAAATTCCTTTTCATCGAAAACGTTGAAAAATGGCACAAAACTGACAAACATGCTCCTTTCTCTCTATTTTAGACATCAACGAAAGATGGTAGACATTCGTATTTACGCTAGAGCTGCGAACCGACACGGGTATTATTTTCGGACTAAAAGCACGGCGCATACTAAAGAACGCAATGCTTACGTACTTTTTGTACATTATTACCCTACGGTCGTTGATAAAACATTATCCCTTCCAGTGCATGTTAGTAGTGATGCAGTTCATTTTACAACCTCGGTGTTTATTTCGATGTTCCATTTTACCGGTTTCACCAACGTAGGTGTTCGTACGAAAAGTATTAATAACTTGTTTGTTTGAAACTCACTGCATATGCATAAGTAAATGTATGCCCGTTGAACAGATCGTTCTATATCATTACCCGTGTCTATGTCATTAGTTCTGCAAAGACGGAACTATTTTCAGAATGACATATGCATTCCAAAACGAATATTCGTAAAACGATAATGTACTAGAATACCGAGTACTGAATATTATGTTTCCGTGCACACGAAATCCACGTTAGTTATGTACGTATATTTACGGATAACAGTAGCAGATCTCTAGTTTGGAGACGCCGAAAGCGGTCTGAATCGTCAGCACCTCAGCGTGTTCGGCACATAGATACATACATATAATATTTCAAACAAAAGTCCAAAATAGTAACAAGAAAACATTAAAAAATCATTTAAAGAAACCAGTAACTGATAATATTATTGTTTCCTAATATCTCTTTCGTTCAGCTGGATATGACGAGTGTGGCGATAGGCTCCCAGAAATCTTCTTGTAAGATTTTAACGATTCTACTGTCGTGCATCGCCCAAATGACGCGTTCGTCACGTGACGTGGGCCGTGAGCATCGTAAAAGTACTATCATGATTTATATTTCAGTCAGTTTGACAGTGGTTGCCATGACATATACTGATAAATGTTAATGACAAGACCAGATGGCGAGCTGGTCGAAATCAACCAAAAACATCTTATGACTCTGCAGTTTTTAAGATGCAAGACAGTAGCTGTAATTCTAAACCAATGTTGTTTGCGAGTTTAACTAAGGTAGTATCTTTGTGGAATGTTAGTGCGAGATTATTACCCCATCAATATTAGTTAGCGTTGACAATGTATAGAAATGTTTTCTCTAGACAGCTTGACGAGTAATTAATTGATTATGATGTGTAAAACTTTCATGTGATTGGTTGTTTGTTGGAAGGCAAGGCCTTGGAGTCTCTTATACTGATTGTAATTGGTTAAGGGGTGAAAACCAGGGACTTGGCAGAAAATCGTTTTGGGAAGATGAACGAAGCTTGTGTGTGTCTTTTGTTAGCCTAGCGTGGAAACGACCGAACCCCGGTTACCTAAGTGAAAGGTTTTTAACTATCAAAAATACCTATCACAGTACCGTGAAAAAACAACTGTCACAAGTGAACATTATTGTATCTGGACAATATTGTATATAATTTGAATAATTTTCTTCTTTTTGACACAGTAACCCCTGGCAATGCGGGCGTCCATTTGTCGACAATCTCATCTTTGGGCTTCGAACAGTTCCAAATTTCACGAATATAAACATGTTATAATTAGCCCCCACAATGCCGATCATGGCAGGACACGTACAATAGGATGCCGTCTTATCCTAAACGTTTGCTGTCCAGAACTAATTAATGGCGTGTCGTCTTATGATCGTAGTTAATGTACTACTTACCTTGTCGAACAGCGACTATGGTTTCTTGACTGGCTACGTCCGGGGCTACGTTGTGATAACGGTCACACCTTTGCGTCTACACGGGAGGTGACGAGTCCTGCATACCTTTACACTAGTAGACCGATTGTTGTGGTCATCGCTTGAAGGTTAATTACTTTTTTGTGGTGTCGTATTGTCTACTTTCCCCTGGTGATAAAAGGGTCCCATGACACTTCTTCGATTGACTATATCGTGAAAATATACTACTCGCAAATTGTCATTGAGTAGTACAATAACAAAGAGCTGGTTCGACCGAGTCGCCAAAATGTATTCAGTGGCGGGGGCCCCTCGAAAAAAAATAATGGGGGCGTCCCCCTTCCAGAATCAAGCTGAAACCCTTTGTGTCAGCAAAATTTACCCCTCAAAATGCAGGAAATAGCATTTTGGAGGGTCTATATATATTTTTTAAGGGAGAGCATACCCCGGACCTTGGCTGGTTCCCGCCTCAAGTGTCATGGCGTACCAAGCCACAAGAGGCCGGTAACTAGTAACGGTTCCGGCATTCTGATTGGTACATCACTTTCTCGTTGCTTGTTCCATTTCCCTTAGTTACCTGACGTCAGCGCTTACGCTCGTGGCCGTTCAGGGGTTTCCTTTTGCTTTCGAAAGTTGGGCGAATAAAAAGAATTGTTTCTTTTGTTATAAATTTGCACAGAACATATCAAATCTGTAAATCTAAGCAGGCAGTATGTATGAGCAAGGCTTTATTGTAGCATTACAGACACGTTTACGCAAAACGGAACTTGGAATGTTTTCAAATTACGTCACCCAGTCGCGTTCCTTCCGGCCGGAAAACCGGCCCAAATGGAACAATATGGCGATTACTAGTTACCTGCGTCCTACCTGCCATTCGCAAAGGACGCCGGGAACCAGCGAAACCCCGGACCCTAGTAAGGCCGCGCCTGGTGAGCAGATCTCGCCCCACCTGCCAAATTTCGTGCCGCCGCCTCTGATATCGTTGTAACCCATTGCGTAAGCGAATCGAGTTCAAATCAACCGTCCGTTTACACATAAGCGTCTACCCATGAGTCTTCGCGTTGTTTACCATGCATTGTTATCGTCGCTTAGGCCTTAGACTCATTTCTCGTGTGTGCGCAGGAGCCGTCCACTCCCAACCCCCATACCCCTACCCCGCTTTAAGTGTGGTTTATTCCATGGAAACGAAAACATTCAGACTTCAGGTGAAAACTAATGTTAATTTAATTGGGGACATTTTCAGATTTGGCACTCACTAGTTCTTTATAACTTTCGTATTTTTTTTTCTATTTTGATGAAACACCGGCCTGACCTGACCATAACCTGTCGTTTCGGAGAAGTCGAATACGTTAGTAGTTGTTAAAAACCATAGTGGCATGACGGCTTCATACTCATAAATAGTTCAAATCTAGAGTGAAAACAGAATGATAAGCAGAAATCAAAATCACACGGGTAATAACTAAATACAAAATGACAACCGGGTAATATAATTAATGCACGATATTCCGCCCGACTTCGCCATCATAACTTGCAGGATAGCTCAAAGTCCACTAAACGTGCGGTCACCAATTTGGCACCTAGCAACTGAATATTTGCTGTCGATTCTGTGATCTTTACTTGTAATGTGAATGAAATATGGTTCTAGAATCTGGTAAATTATAGTAATATCTATATAATTATGTTTTTTTTCTTAATTCCTGTGTTGTGGTGTATTGCATCGTATATCACACAGGTTGCTGGGCCGGACGCTTGATAGGTAGATTCCAACCAGGGTTTAACAATGAAAATGGTTTCGAACATTGACTGTAGCAGAGACTCAACATATGGACTAAATCCACTGGTAGATACTTATTCAATAATGGTGCGACTTTCAATGAGGTGTCCACGGTTGTTTCGAACTGTGCCTGGTACTGGGACTTGGTTGACGCCGGGAAAGTTATTTAATTTACTATAAATGACCACAATGCTCTGAGTGTGATTTTAGTGGTAAACTGCACTATATATACACTAATATGTATAAGAAAATAAGGTATAAATGTGGTGCTGGTTATTTTTTCAAAAAGCTAAAAGCCGGATGGTCAATAATTGTACATTCACATCGATAATTGCGTACAGCGTGGCCGTTTCGTTCACTTCCACGATCAAAACTAAATGTCTGAATTATTTGGAGTCTTTTATTCTAATTGAATTCAGTTAGACATATTTTAAACATTTCTTGTGATTTCCAGTTTTTGTTTTTAGTCATGTACTTGTCAAAACAATTATAGCCGAGTGCCTCCTCCTCTCGCACACATTGCAACCAAGAACACATTAGTTCAAGTATTTAGGCCGATGGAAAACACAGATATGTACGAACACGCCACAAGGTTGAAACAGTGGCATATTGTTCAGAAGCACATCTGGACGATGCGAATTTGTAAAGCACAGCGGGGATAGGGTGAAGTGTCTTAACATGCTCCATGTATAGGTAGACAATTAAAACAATTACTATGCACTTGAGTTCACTATAGTACGCTGGCATCATCAGGGGTAGACCCAAAGCGTTGTCAGAGTGAGTGGTATTTACGATACACTCAGTTATTGACTGCCCACTCGAACACTGCCATGAATTTTCTACTATTTTCTACTAATTTTCTACAAATTGATGCGTTCTGTGTTTTTTTAACTAAACGCTTAATGAACCAGAACCTCGCTTAAAGCGTAGTGGTCGTCCCGCTACGCATGTGCGAGATGTGGGTCTCCTTTGAATGGCGAGATGGAGACTTTGACTGTTGCGCAGAACAACCACCGACGGTGCACGTCGCGCCCAGGTCAAAACTTGTACTTGCGATTTCCATTAGAAGAACGCATTGAATTGTGGGAAAATCAATGTTTATCAACACAAATGTCGCACATACGCGGCGCGGCGCAACAACCACCTCCCTTTAATCTTCAATTAAGCCCTTGGTTTGGTGTAAACCAGGGTTTCTAAAAACGGTGTACACATGCTTTGAATTGTATGAATGGAATGCATTCTGCCAAGTTACGCGACCAGCTATAAA